CTTGTTGGCATTTCTTAGCATCACTTGTTACTAGGTTGTCATCCCTAGCATAATACCATAAATATATGGTTAGTAATTATTAATGACACTTGTAAACTTTAGAGAAAAATATATATACTAAAGTATCCGCAAGCGCACAGATAATATACCATTATATCATTTCACCCGGGAGTATACCAGGTATCGTTATTTATATTTTTACCACATGGAGGAGCTTATGGAGTGGTGTTGGCATAGAGATATTGACAAATGTGTATATTTATGATAATAATCACTCTCATGCTATTGCAGGGGTAAGTCATAGGGTAAATAAATAATAAGTGTAAGGTAATAGTGGTATTCTAGAGAAAGAATTAGAGACTCGTAAAATGTAGTACAGCTAAGCAGGAGATTCGTTAAGAGCAAAAGATTCCTAAGTCATTGGGGAGTGGACTACAAAGGACTCAACGAGAGTGTCACATCCGTGATCTACCACATGACCTAGAGTGCAGAGGGCATCCGCAGGCAAACAATATCTAAGCACCATGCTTACAAAGTATCGACCACTTAACTCACGTGCATAATGAGCTAAGCGCTTTGCGAACATGTGCATAAACTCATCATTAATCATAACTATATCAAGCATACAACTAGATCAAACTAAGAACATAATAAATAGCAACATAATAATATTAAGGGGCTCTTGCATTTATACCCTTGTTTTGTATCGAAATTGTGATTTTGCCCCTGTTTTTTAACTTTGTGAATTTACCCCTGCGTTTTCAAAACGAAGCACCACTTTACCCCTATTCCGTCATCCTCACCTAACAGTGTTAACTTTTATACAAATGACAACTATGCCCATGTGATTTTGCCCCTAGTTTTTATGGTTGTTTGTGATTTGACCCCTGATTTGGAATAAGACATTTATATTGTATTTTAACCAAAAAATGGTTATATTTTACCAAATATATTTGGCACAATGTGCAATGATTTCAAATTAATTCATCCTCAAATAAAATGAACCATGTGGTCTACATCAAGAGCCAATCGGGGTGTGGATGCTTCTAACAAATTGAACGATAATGTAGTGATTGCTACTGAAATCCACATTTCCACATAGCCAGCAGGCAACAGACATCATCACATTCATCAAACTAATCTTTACAGAAATTATCTACTACTAGTAGGCAGTAGCTAGCATTCATACGAATATGAACGGGTCAACCTAAACTACAGAGGTCGCCCCTCCGACTGCAGCTCCAGTAGGAAGCTACGCCTAGGCCAGGGCCGCTCCTCCGTCACCGGTAGCTCCAGCTCTAGTTTATTTAGAATTCTTCTGGGAAATTTTCTATAAGTAAAAAGCTTAATTTTCATTTCCTGTGTATGTTTCCTGTGTGCACATAGCATTTTCCCTACGACTTAGAGTCTGACGCATGTGGCCAGTCAAAGGTCAAAGCTGATCGGCACTATGCCTGTGCACCGATCTATAGACCTATCCTCTTTCTCCCTTTGGTCTACGAAGACTGGGTCTACGGAGAGAGAAAGAGAGAGGGGGTGGGTCTCTGTACCAATGACACTCGCCGCGTAGCGCGCCCACCGGCCATGCCGCGACGCCCGCCCAGCGGCACCCGCAGCGCCGCGAGCTCGCACGGCCGCAGCGCCTGCCCAGCCGTGCCCCCGTCGCGGCCGCCGCACCCACCGCAGCGCCCACCTTGCCGTGCTCGCCGCGCCGTGAGCCCGTCGGCCGTGCCTCCCCCATCGATGTCACGCGCCCTGCCCAATAGGAACCGGTGGACACGGTGCGGATGGGATAACTGTGATAAGGGTATTTCAGTCATTTCGCATCTGATTTTATGTGTTTTATTTTTTTTAAATCGTTTAATCAGCCTCTAAATAACGGACATCCAAACCAGGGGCAAACTGCTCATTCGTTTCAAAATAACATGGGTAAAATCACAAAGTTAAAAAAATAAGGGTAAAATCACAATTGAACCTCTAGACAGGGGCAAAAACATTGTTTTCCCTAATATTAAAGTAGCACAAAGTCATAAATGTAGAGATACAATGGCTATACCAGTCTCTAGATGACAGATACGGAATCCTGAGCAATAGCTCACACTCTTTTTGAACCTTGCTAGCTAATCTATACTAGAAACTTGAAGAACTAGAGCTCTAATCTCTAGAAACCCTAGTTTTCTATCTAGCTCTAACTTATGATCTGATGACTTGATTCTCTCTGGAGAGAGGGGGGTTGGATTATATAGCCCTGAGGATACAACGTGAGCCATTGGATCAAACCGATTTAAGCAATGGTTTAGATGCATCATAGGAAGCGGAGGCTGACAGGGGGGCCCTGATGGACCGGGTGGCCTACAGGTGGGGCTGGGGCGGCCCCGCTTGGCAGCCTCTCAGCCTCCGCTTTGGTGACGTGGCTTCTGGAGTCCCCTGGAACCTTCTGGAGTTGGTTTCGAGGTCGAATTCTGATTTTTCCTCTGACGTTTAAGTCCCCCTTGTTGGTTTTCTGATTAAACCTTGCTAAAAACATATATTCACCAAAACTCGTGAAAATTGATAGTTTAAACCCCTAAATCTTCATTGGTGATTATAGTTATGCCCTTATACATGTTTAATTGACAGTTTAAATAGGTTGTTAACTACCGTCAACAACTACAAAGACCAACCTGTTACTAAAAGTTTGAAACTGCTAGCTCCGCACCTACCTCAAACGCATGATGTGGGGCCCATTTCCGGTAGCCCTCATGACTTCCAGCAAAGACATAGGTAGACGAGATTGGCTCAAGTTATAAGCAAGCCACGCTCGAGACAAACCAAGGCTTGTGAGCCAAACAGGCGCACAAGATAAAAGCATGTGATGGTCCATTTTTAATTGTCACACCAACTCCGTGAGTAAAAGCAAACTGGAACTCGCTCCATTGAGTAAAAGTAATAGGAAAAAAACATAGATAAAGGAAAACTGACAACATCATAGTCATTGATCAATGTGAATAGTAAAATTAGAAACAGAAAGATGGTATCACATATAAAAATCTTTACTTGCATTAGTAAAAACACATATAAAAAGTATATTTAGAAAACTAAACAATTCCATCAAAACATAATATATCGACAGGTTCCTAAAATGGATCAACATGACTCCAATAAAAGACACATGACTGAGACGTCACTAACCACAATCACAACAACATATGGACTCCAAGGAGGCAAGGACCAACCTGTCATTAGAAATGTGAAACCGCTAGCTCCACATCTACCCCCAACACATGATGTGTGTTACATTGAGAACAAAGATGACAACGAAACAACCCTAGGCATGTGAGATTGGCTTGAGTTGTAAAGAAACTAAGATCTAGCTAGGATCAAGACATGTGAGACTAACAGTTTAACAAGCTAGAGCCCAATATGGCTCGTTCTCTTAATTCTCACACCAACTTTGTGAGTGAAAGCAAACTGAAAATGCTCAGCCATATTGAGGAAAAGCATTAGGAAAAAGTTAGACAAAGGGAAACTTACTTCATCATAGTCAATGGTCAATATGATGTGTGAAACTTAAAAAACCTTAAGACCATAGTCAATTATCAACAAATGAGTAAAACTGGAAAACCTAAAGGGCAACATATCAGGTGCAAACCAACCAACCTATGCAAACTTGAAAACTACCAATCAGGACCACTAGATGCTGATCAGCACCCCATCCATTGGTATCACACCAACTTTGTGAGTAAAAGGAAACTGAAAACGCTCCCACCATATTGAGTGAAAGCAAGAGGAAAAGGCCTAAACAAAGGAAAACCTACTCGATTAGAGTCGTCGGTGGCTAACGTGACTAGTGAAATTGGGAAACCGGACGATAATATTGCATGCAAAAATAAAACTTGTATTACCAAAAACACTTATAAGTAGATTTACAAAACTAAACAACTTTGTCAAATTAAAAACAATATATGACATACACAAATATACTAGCAGTCATAAAACTGGATCAACATGAGTCCAATAAAAGACAGTTGGCTGAGACGTTACTAACTGTAATAATCATACCAACAGCTGGACTCCAAAGACTAACCTATCATTAGAAATGTGAACATGACAGCTCTACACCTATACACAACACATGACTAGGGTAGGGGAATTCGTGGTAAGCCGTGTGGTTGCCAGAAAAGCCCTTAGGCATGTGAGCATGGCTCAAGTTGTATACAAGCTACGCTTAAGCCAAGACTAATGCTTGTGAGCCCAACAAGCTAACAAGATAGCTACCTCGTTTTTTTTTTAATGTGAGCCCGGCTCGAATTGTAAACAAGTTAAGCTCGAACAGGGAAGGGACTAAGGTTTGAAAGCCTAACACGCTAACAATTTAGAGCTCGGTTTGGCATTTCTTTAAATGTGGAACCATTGTAAGTTGGGATGGTTTATTATTTTTGTCGTTCTTATAGTTTGGTAGCTCCTGGTTTATTTTTATTATTATAGTTTACAGGGGGCAAAAAAACATAAGCAATGCTGAATCCTGAATGCATGGAAGTGGAACGATGGAACCATGACCTGACATCCTGGCCTGACCTGATCGAGCCGACATCGAACCCACCTTGAAGCTTGGCTCGGGTTCGTGTTGGGCTCGAGCCTGGACACCAGGGTGGCTCGAGCTCGGCTCGTTGACAGCCGTAGCCCCAGCACGCCGCCTCCGCTTTCCTCTCTCGCCTTCTTCCCCAGGATTCCGACTCGCTAGATCTTCCCCCCTCGCACTTCGGCACCCGCCCCTCAGCACCCATGGGCTCTCGCCGCCGCTGAGACTGGGGCCCAACGCTCTCCTCCGCGTCCGCGCCCGCCTCCGCCTCCTCCCCCTCCCCCTCCTCCTCCTCCTCCTCTTACTGCCTCCACTGACCCTAGCCGACCGCCCCCGCCCGCCGACATCGGAAGCCCTAGCTGCTGTCGGAACCGCCCTGCCGGCCTGCCGCTCCTCCGCCCGAAGCGTCCCCGAGTTCTTGGATGCACCGGCTGCTCCGATGGCTGCCCCTCCGCCCGCCGCCGAGGGCCCCGACGCCGTGGAGATCCGCGAAGTCTGGGCGGGGAACCTGGAGGAGGAGTTCGCGGTGATCCGCGCCGTCGTCGACGCGTACCCGTACGTCGCCATGGACACGGAGTTCCCCGGCTTCGTGGTCAAGCCGAGCGCCGAGTACCGGTTCACCTGCGACCGCAACTACGCCGCCCTCGAGGGCAATGTCAACGTGCTCAAGCTCATCCAGCTTGGCCTCACCCTCTCCAACGGGGCAGGCGCGCTCCCGCCGTGCGGCACGGGGGGGCGGGGCTGCATCTGGCAGTTCAACTTCCGGGGCTTCGACCCGCACACCGACCCTTCCAGCAACGACTCCATCGACCTGCTCCGCCGCAGTGGCATCGACTTCGACCGCTTTGCGGCCGAGGGGGTCGATTCCACCCGCTTCGCCGAGCTGATGATGTCGTCCGGGATCGTGCTGAACGACGATGTCCAGTGGGTCACCTTCCACAGTGGCCACGACTTCGGCTACCTCCTCAGGCTGCTCACCGGACGGGAAATGCCCAACACCTTGGATGAGTTCCTCAAGCTCACCAATACCTTCTTTCCGGTGCTGTACGACATCAAGCATCTCATGAAGTTCTGTGGCGGTGGCCTGTATGGTGGGCTCAGCAAACTTGGGGAGCTGCTCAAGATCGAGCGTGTTGGGATCGGCCACCAGGCTGGTTCTGATTCGCTGCTGACCCTGCAGTGCTTCATGAAGCTCAAGCAGTTGTACTTAAAGGAGTCTGTCAAGTTGTATGATGGTGTGTTGTTTGGGCTTATTCCTGGGGAAGTGAAGATCAAACCTGCTACTCCGCCCATTGAATGAGTAATGGTAGTTATTAAATAACAAGATTCTGAATGAGAAAAATGGAGAACAAAACCTATCATCAGTGAATATATGGCTGATCTGATGATTTCCTGTGCTTGTTATGATATGTCTTCTCTCCTGGCTATTCTTCCCATTAATCACTTGAATGCGTGTTTCTTTGTGTTGTGTGTTCATCTTGCTAGGTTTACCTAATAGTTAACATCAACATTTGTTTGAATTAAGTAGCAAATGCTGCTGTATCAAGCCACTGAAAGTTCCAACTTCATCTTCTATATTTATCAGTGGGTTAGCTTGCTCATCTTCAATATTTATCAGTGTGGTAACTTATTTGTTTTGGTACTAGTGATCGAAAGCATGTGTATTAACTATTGATTTTGTTATCTTGAATAACCTTATCTGGTGGACTATTGAGCAACTGCTTGTTTGGGACTTTGGGCATCATTCCTGTTAAAATGGGCGACTTCTATCTTGTCTTTCTTTTTCAGCTGTCACTTTTTGTGCAATCTGGTAACTTTGAGGATGCCAATATGTCATGTTGATTGTTGACATGTGTTAACTATTTCTATTCCATTCTTCAGTCATTCAGTAAGGGGTAAATTTTCATATTGATGTACAGTAGTTTGGCTTCCAAACATGTTTTTTTTCTGATTTCCAATTCTTTTGCTTGATGCTACTTAGGGCCTGTTTGGATGGTCTAAGACTAACAACTAATCTTATATTTGTGGACTAGTGGACTATCAATTACTCAATTAGTCTGTCTGTTTGGATCCTTAAGGACTAAAATTAGTCAACTAGCTGTTACCTGTTAGTCCTATGGATCCAAACAGTGCCTTTAGTCATACAATTTTGCCATGTGCTGAGTTTTGCCCCACTTTGGTTTCACATATCTGATTCACAAGGGAGGGACCATTGCATTGCAAAGCCTTCTCTTGAACTTGCTGCACATAATACTCCGGCCTTTCCTCTGCTGATGTGTCTTTATCTTTGAACTTGCTGCATTATACTAGCCATTTAAAGGTTTGCCAAGCAAATCAAGGTAAACTTATTAAATGAAGAGCAGTTTGTGTTGTTTTTTAGCATTAACCTTTTTGCCCCCTGTAAATTTTCCTTTGATTATGAGTTTGTGACTGTGAACAAATGATGAATATAGAATGTTCATTCTCCCCCGCTCAAACTCTGGGCCGAGAAGTTATCAAAATTTGCATCTATCCTGCACTATTGTTTGATATTTGCTCTGTTGCTCGAGTGAAATTTTGTCCAGGGGTACTAAATGTTTCTAGCCTTGTGTTGCTTGTTAAAGAACGTGGATATTGTCCCATGGTATGCAGTTGTTAAAGCAAGAACAGTGCTATGATGAGAGAATGCACTGCTGCTTTGATTTTAGTACATGTCCCACATTAAAAACATGCTTATGGGCATGTTTGAGTTCACTCTAGGATTGAACTTTCTGTTGTCTACTGTTTGTGCGGTTTGATATTTGATTCTTACAGGCAGGATCTTGAGTACGTGAAAGCATCATTTATACGATGAATCACTATCTTGCGTGTGTAGCTAGACTTGTACAGTGTTCTTTAATTTGTACTTGTCCGTCTGGACCTTCCTCTTTTTAATATAGCAGGCAGCTCTCCTGCCGGTTCAGTTTCTAAAAAAAAATTATAAGATGAAGTTGCTGTTCCACTGTCGTGTGTTCATGGTACTGATAATGCTGCAGTAACTTTTTTTTGGGGGGTTTTGTTCCAATTTTATCTGGTCCCTCCAAGGAGATATAGGCATGTAACAGAACCTCTCACTTCCCCTGCTCTCCAAAGAGATATATGCATGTAACAGAACCTTTCTCACTTGCCCTGCTCCGATAGTGCCTGATTCGATATAGGCATGTAACAGAATCTTTCTCACTTCCCCTGCTCAGATAGTGCCTGATTGTGCCCGCTTGCAAAGTGGGCTTGCTTTGTTACCGTAACAAGCAGTTAGGTTTGGTTCTGAGCAGAGTCATTCTGGTATTCAGCCTGCGCTTGTTTTGTAACCGTAACAAGCAGTAGCGTTTGGTGCTGAGCAGAATCATTCTGGTACAAAAGCCTGAGTCTGGGGGTATTGGCTCCGGCTTGGACAGCACCACCTCTGAGCACCAATGTCTGAAATGCAAAATTTGGGCTACACGAAATTTGCAGCTCAGAAGATACAAGGCAAACTTGTTTATTTGGGGTCATAGACCGCCAATCAGGACGGTTCAAATTTCAATATCACAATGAAGCAGGGTGCGGCAAAAACTCAAGATTTGCCAGGACGGTCTTTCTGCGTCACATCTGGAAGATGATCGGCATCTCTAGTTGTGAACAAAGTGTCACTTGGGTCTCTACACGGTCATATATGGATTATAAATATCAATTACAAGCATGTACTCTCCTGATTTTGTCGACATCATCGATATCCAAAATTCCAACTTCAACATATGACTAGGGGTCAGGTCCCATGTTCATTTTTCTCAAGAAAAGCAAGAACGAATGAAAGCGGGTAAAATATCTTATCCTATACTAATTAACATTAAAACTGGTAACTGCTGTTTCACTTGCTTCCGTTAACTGGGAGATAAACACCCTCTGCTGCCAACCAAATGTTCTCAGCCCGCTTCTCTCGGACACCACAGACCTGTACCAAAACATATCCCAACGGTATTAATTTGCATACATGGCAGCAAGTAAAATGAATCATATAGAAATATTTAATTATGAAATTCATGGATAACATAGGCAATGAAATAATGGTATAGAAATAATTTACATCAGTAGTAGAATGATCTATCGCCCTTATGATTGCCAATTCACAGTCGAATCTTTTGATTCTTGCAAGAAGAAAATTTTGCAGACAAATAAATATCTCACCTCTTGCTGCCCACCACCAAGGCGATTGTACTTCTTGTTGTGACTATGCAGATAGCCTCCAGTGTCCACATGACTAAGTCGTACCTTTTGATCCCTTTTCCATACTTTTCCACTTCCTTCAATTTCTAGCCTGGAGAATGCCCAGAGGACAAACATGAGCTAAGCAAAAAAAAAAAAAAATGCATTCACATTGCATGTGTAAATAAATCATACCTCCAATAGTCACCAGTATCTGACAATTCATCCCCACCGAAACAGCTAACCTACAATGTTGACATCCAAGCTTCAGAGCACATTCTTAATATGAGGACATAACAAGACATGGAACATGTTTTCCTGAAACGCAAAGCATTGGTCTATATAGCTACTCATAAAATTAGTGGACATCAGAAAGACGGTAATAACTCAATTCACTGTAAGCAAGCTGAAAATAAAGATAGTTGACCACACTTCAGTATGACAGCAATATTATGTGGTACACAAGATGGTCTACTGCAGAGCAAAGCCCTGTACATGGTCCGGGTTTCCGGGGTTATGGCTAATTTGCAAACAAACCCGTGTGTGCAGTATATGGGCCAGGTTGGGTTGGTTTCCGGTGGTTTCAAAGCAGGATCAATGAACCCCTAGGTTGGGTTGGTTCAGCGGTTTCAACGATTCCGCACGGAGGACGACGACAATGCGACCTGCGACAGCAGGGGTGGGGTGCACTAGCATCCACATCAACGCGCTGGACGGCGTCATGAATGTGAACTCGCTCTTCACTCTCGCCGCCATCCTGGGCCTAGTGTGGCGGTCCTCTGACGAGCCTGGGTTCGCTGATGGCGCTGACCGCACAGGCAACCCCTGCGCCTTGGGGGACCGCGCCAACTCCAACTTCGTCTCCTACCACGTGCTGGCCTTCACCTGCTTCCTCTTCTCCAGCCTTGTTGTACTGCCTCAAGCAGCTCGTCCACACCTACCCCCCTGCGCAGCAGCATCCCATTCTCCTCTGTGGGCGCTAGGCGTCGTCGGCCGGACGGCGCGGATCAACCACGCTGGGCTCGGCCTCATACGGCCTCTTCAGCCACAAGAACAGAGGCGACGATGGACACACTAAGGTTGCCCCCACAGCAGAGGACGCTACCGTGGGACAGGAACCAGCCAAGGCGGAAGCGACATACGCGTGGTGGATGTTCAGGCCTTTAGAAACTCAATCGCGCCGTTCGACAACGACGACATGCTGGTACCGAACAGCCCTCCCAGCGGCAGCGGCGAGTGGCAGGGCACGGTCGTGGTGCAGGTGAAGCTCGGCTGCTTGGGTGCAGCACCAGTGTGGCCGACGTCGAACGTCGTCCCCGCCACCATGCCCATCTATAACATCACCACGAATAGGACGGGTTCCATGGGTTACTTGGGTTCAACCCGTGACACGTTAGAGCTACTCTATCATAAAGCCGGTTTTGACGGAAACCTAACCCAACCCGTGTATAAGATAGTGGATCCAGTCTTGCATGGATTGGGTATGGGTTGGTTGCCGGGTTCAGCGAACCGATGAACAGGGATAACAGACCAACATTTATGGCTTTTTTTCTCAATCAACAGGAAGTGATTCTAGCCTTCTAGGTATTCTTGATTACTGTATTCTTGGTATTCTAGGAAGTTATTCTAAGGATAGAAGCAAGGGAAATCAGATGCCATGCTGTTCCATTGGTAAACTGTGTGCCTGGCATGCTATAATTTTTAAAAGGCTGGTTACATTTCATCACAACAGCATTAGTGAAAAGTACTATAAAGTTGGAAGTGAAAAGTCAAATTGTTCAAATGTCTGAGATCAAGCCATAAAGCCATAATATACATGGATGCTTTCAGAGAAGACAATGGAGTAGATTGGTAGTGCAGGAATATGCAGTGCAGATCATTTGTCTTTTTTCTAGACCAAAATACATCTTGGTTGTTCATCGTTCTACAGAGATGTAAATTTGAATGTGCATGCCTTGAATTTCCTTCTTGAAAATGGCATCACCATATCACAACTAAAAAATTTAACAGCTTCATTTTAATTGGAATACAAGAGGTGGTATGAGACTATTCTATTATATCGTGCACTATCCTATCCTTGTTTATCCAAAAAAGTAAATGACAGACCAAGTTGTTACATGTGTGCACCTGGATAGTGAAGGATATAAGCATACCATCTAATAATACTTACAGCTTTCCTGCTTGATCCCAATTTGAATTGATTGACACAAAATTGCATCATGTACTCAGAGACGTTAAATGGTCTACGTCAATTTCAAGAAAATTGTTCCCTCCACCAAAAATTATAGGTCATTTTGGCTTTTCTAGGTACATAGATTTTGCTATGCACCTAGATATACGCTATGTCTAAATACAACAACAACAAAGCCTTTAAGTCCCAAACAAGTTGGGGGTAGGCTCGCTATGTCTAAATGCATAGTAAAAACTATGTATCCACAAAGCCAAAACGACATATAATTTGGAACAAAGAGAGTAAAAGTTTATCTTTCAATCTAAGTTCAATTGTTCAAAGGATGTACAGAATTTGAACTGTTAATGAATGTTACAACTGGGGAGATTGATATCAAACTAACCTCAAGGTTACCAGATAACGGTGAAGCGTGCAAGTGACTGTGCAACCACCTCCGTGTCCTCATGTGTTGCAACTTGATGATGCCACCAGTTTCGATGGCATCACCTTGCTTAGACGATGAATCTGGAGTAGGCCTTACGATCTGCATTCAATAAGAACTTATCAACTCAGACCAAGATCCTGAGAACCATGAAACCCTGCTCATTTGTTAGCTGACTATTTGAATTGAAATTATATATGAACCAAACTATAATTGCTGTACCAAATAGCCATTAATTTAACTATTCAGAAAATAAAGAAAAGATTCAGATTCACAATAAGATTTTTTTTTTCTGTCCATGTTTACTTGTTTCATCAAAGAACTACCAGTACTGCCAATCTGCCATTATATATTTTCAAAGAGATCCATGTTCTTGCTAATCTCAATATAAATTAGCTTGCTCTTGAAAACAATAGGACTGTTTGCACAAAAAATTCAAACAAACTGATCTATTGCGTTCTGAACAAGAATGCACTGATCAATAAACTCAATTCAACGCTACCATCTGAAATCTAAACGCGTGATAAGCAGTAAACAGGACACATTTATTTTATGAAGCGGTAAGGGTTAGATCATGAGAAGATAGGCACCCAGTAGCTATTTGAGTCATCGCCTTCAGGAAAGCCGGTGACAGACTGCTGACCACTGCCTGAGCCGTAGGGCACATCATGCGAGTGCAGACGGTGCTTCGTCTTCTCGTGCATCAGCTTGATCACACTCCCGTAGGTCACCTGCAAATGCCCCCGCAGATCCAGATCACAGTCACAATCACACCCAAACCCATAACCTCCACGGCAGATCTTAATTAAGGTCCTAATCCTGGATGCGCACCTCGGAGCCCTCCGCCTCCACGGGGGCTGCTGCGCCCCCATCGATGCCGCCGGAGCCAGCGCCAACAAGGAACGCCACGGCGAGCACGAGCAGCGACGCGGCCATCGCGACAGCGAGCGCGCGGCGCGACCTCGGTGGAGGAGAGGAGGAGGCGTCGGCCTTGCCTTTCCTCTTGGCGGCCGGGGCGGGGGCCGGCGGTGCCGTGGCCTCGGGCGGTGACCGCACGGCGCGCGCGCGGGAGTGAGTGGGCGGGGCGGAGGCAGCTGGTCGGTCTCGTGTGCGCGTCGGTGCGTGCGACCTGCGACGTGAGCTGAGGGGAGGAGGCTCTCGGCGAGTTCGGGGACTTGGCCGGCCGTTGCTTCCGCGCAAGACTTGGAGCGGCCCGGGCGGCCGGGGCCCCTGGCTCCACGTGTAGCTAGCGAACGGGGAGAAGCCGCGTGTCCCCGAGACGTCACGAATGCGAGGCTGGGCCGTAGGGTGATGGATGTGCGGTGAGGATTTGTTCGAGTAAGACCGCGGCACTAACGGGCTAAACTTTTCGGCTATTGGTCCAGATGGCAAATCATCTTGGTCTCCGCTTCTGTTCGCCACCATTGAAGGCCGAATTGGATTGGGCTGGCCTGGGTTGGATGGACAGGGGGCGAGGGGGCCTTGACCGAATTTTTTTTTTGTTTTTTTAGCCCATTTTTTTTAACTTTTTCACAAATATGCTCCCGGTGGTATGCTTTCAAAATTTAGACCCTCACCTCGGCGCTGACGTAATTGGTGCCGAGCTTACACATCTCGACGCCAGAACATTTAGCGCCTAGCTTCCTCGGCCACGTCGGCGTCGACGCAGACGTGGCGGTGACGTAGCAACCTGCTTGGCGCCGTAGATCTTGACGTCGTGCTCTTTCCATGTGGGGTCTCTTTCCATTCTCTTTATTCCTCTTCCTCTTCCATTTTCTCTCGCTCGTCCGAGTCCCGAGCCGCCCGCCGCCGGCACCCATCCACCGTGCCCCGGCCCTCCCCGCCACGCTCGCCGCCACACACCGCACGCCCCGCCGAGCGCCGCGCCCCGTGGCCCGCCTATCCCCGTCCTCCGGCGACCCCGACAGCCTGCTCCCCGTCCGCAAGCCGGCCCCTCCCCGTCCGCGAGCCGGCCCCTCCCCGCCGGCCGCCCGATCCCTGCCACCGGTCGTTCCATCGCTGCCGCTGGGCCTCGAAGTGCCGAGGGCAGTGGCCCTTGGAAAGGGACGAGGGGAGGGGCTGGTGTCCGGCTGCAAGGCCGCAGCACCCGCCATGGCTGGCAAGTTCGGCTAGTGCTTTTCGCCTTCAACGTCGCCTGCTCTGTTTGTTGCATTCGTCGGACAGGTAAAATTTGTGAGTATGCAATGTAGGTACTTAGTTAGCTTGAATTGTAGCTCTAGTTTGATTATTTGGTACTTACTAGTAAATGTGATGATGTAGGTAGTTGATTTACTTGGTGAGATAGGTATGTAGATAGATACATATATAGATACATAGGTACATAGATATAGTTAGATAGCTAGTTGTACATTTAGTTATTTAGGTAGGATTTAGCTGTTTAGTTACTAGATTATATCTATATCTATATACTTAGTTATTAACCTATTTACTTAGGTTGTAGTTAGTTAGTATGTATTAGATAGGTACTATATGAAACTATTTTGGACGAAACGATCTGTGTTTGAATTTGTGTATGAACTACTAGATGGACAACCTAGTGAGCATATATCATGGAGGCACCGTGGGAAGAGATCGCTATGGATATGTTGAGTTTGTTGATATGCAAAGCGCGCCTGTGTTATTCAATGAGAAGCCTTCATTTAGTGAGTTGGTTGTAAGGGCTCGGGACGAGCTACATTGCCATGGAGATGATGGCATCGCAGTTGAGGGTGTACTTCACCTAGGTTCTCCTCCCAACATCCTAAGGAAGATGATCTCAATTGGGTGTACGGATCAGTGGGAGAACTATGTGAGATCGATTATGAAGAGCCAGTTTCAAAGTTTGGACGTGGTTGTGCGTTAAGTGTTAGTTGATCCCATCCCTTATGGGTTTTCTCCGTCAATGGGTCAGTAGGCACATTTTGACCCTCCCGCCCCGGAACCTGATATGGATGTTTCAACAAAGTTATTACAACCCAAATTTAGAAGTAGCGGAAGCAACATAGTTTTGAACACAACATCAAGACAGTTCAAATACATAGCACTTAGCTGGCCGATTAAGGACTTGAACTATCTTCCTGCTGATGTTGTTTCAAAACTACGTTGATTCTGCTACTTCTAAATTTGGGTTGTAATAACTTTGTTGAAACTCCGATGTATGAGAATTATTTGTGAACCTGTTGTAACATATGACTTGTATGTTGAATCATGTACGATCTTGGCTTGTATGTTGGTTGATTCGAGATCCTTCGTGATACTCGACGGACTACCGGATTTATATAGGCTCCCTTCCTTACATTGTTATTGGAAGCTTACCCCCTTCCTTACACCCCCTAATCACAAGAACAAGGGGCCTCCGCCGCCACCCCCGCCACAACCACCACTAACAATGGGAGACCACTGTGGAGAAGGTGCAACACAATTTGCTATGTGGCCACACTACTAGGACGAACCTATCTTATTCACATACCACATACATGTGTTTGTTGTTTGGTTTAATTACCTAAGACATGTTAGGTTTAGTCGAAGGAACTATGTACCCCTGTTTGGTACATATTCTCACATGCCATTTTATTTGTTTGTTGTTCGCTTCAATTACCTAAGGCATGTTAGGTTTAGTCCAGGACCTCTATACCCTAGTTTGGTACATGTTCTCACATGCCATTTCATGTGTTATGCATGTTGAATTATGTAATGCACTACTTCGTTAGGTTTTATTTGCAGTACGTGAACTCGTTTCACTACATCCGCAATATTAAACTGAATATTATGACCACAAATAATGAAAACAACAACACAATGAAAAGTCCAATACTATGGCACATTAAAAAACACAATAATACTAGAAGTACATGTCGACAAACTAAATAACATAGTACATGACCTAAGTACGCCCTTACTTAAAGTGCATTACACGGCAACGCAATGAAAAGTCCAAGACTAGACAACATTATTTATAAATAAACCATAGAACTAGTAAGTCATGGAGACTACTGAGTGTAACGAGGCCACTTTCTCTTCCTCATGGCATCGGGATTCTCTTCCATTGCTTCTTTCGCTCGGCGCACACGCTCAAGCTTCTTCTCCCTCTCCTCCCTGTACGCAGTAACACGCCTTCTTTCCTCCTCTTCCTTGTGCTCCTTTTCTGCAGCCTTCTCTCTGCGTCTCTTCTCCATCATCTTCTTGTCCTCTGCCTCCCACCATAATAGTTTCTGCATCCATTCCTTGTCTTCAGGCTTGATCTCAGCGTCGATCCACTGCTCAAAATCAGAGCGGTGGAGGGGTCTGCAACAAACGCAATTGTTACAAACAAATAAATCATGCAAGATTTCATATGACACAAAATAATCATTACACAACATCAATTCCTCACCATCTTGTTAATGCGGCGCTGACGAAGTGTATGCTCAAACGCAAAATTAGAGCACATCCAATACCTCTGCCTATATGTGTCATCTTCATCTGACTTTGCTACCTTGCAAGGATCACCGCAAAAGCACATGGGAACTGGAACACCACTAGGTAGAGGCAATGGGTCGAAGGCATTTCCGGTCATCCGGCCATAACTATAATTCAACAAATTCCGTTCTAAGAACCGAAAGCAATTAACATTATACGCTAAACATAGGGTTTCCCATTTGATGCATAACAATGAACCCATATATATAACAACATGTGTTGAGGTTACCTTGGTTTGCTAGCTTTTCCACGCCTTGGCATCCTACAGTTGTATAATACAAATATTAAAATTGCATGAAACCCTAAGCAATGACGATTCTTAGGTTGAAAATTACGACTAATATATACCGAATCGATGCGAAAAAAATTGGAGGGGAGCGAGGATACCTTGCTCTCGAAGATCTACGGATCAAATCAAAGTTTTCAATGTCCAATATGCCAATTCATGAGGTAGGGCAAAGTGGGGAGAGAAAAAACCGAGAAGGAGGAGGAAGAAAAGGAAGAAACCTTGGCCAGGAAAGGTGGGCGCTGATTTTAAACAACACCTTGGCGTCATAGATCTTGACGTCAAGCCCGACGCCAATGTCAACGGCGTCAAGCTCGGCGTCAATATCTATGGCGCCATGGTGGCTGGCAAGTTACCGCCACGTCTGCGTCTACGCCTACGTGGTCCCAAGACCTTGGCGCCAAATGCTCTGGCGCTAAGATGCGCCAATTACTTCGGCGCTGAGGTGAGGGTCTAGATTTTAAAAACATGCCTCCAGGAATGTATTTGTGAAAAACTTTTTAAAAAATGGCTAAAAAACAAGTGCTCCACGGGCCTTTATGGTGTAGTGTGAGCAAACTAGCTCGTGTCATGGTTGTAAAATGCCTCGTCAAAAGTTAATTCAGTACTCCAGTACTAACATGTAAAAAGTGCTGCAGCTAAATTGGTCAAGTGCGGGACAATGGGACATACAAATGATACAATGTGCAGGTTTTTGGTATGCAAGGTGGGAATCGTGCAAATACCATGGCCTCAAGAATCCGCATCCATATGGACAGCGTAGCCAGAGGCGGCAGCGGCACACTGGTTGTCTCTGCCGCAGGTTTAGCACAGCAATCGGGCAGGAAAGGACACGCACGCCGCGTCATGCTCATGCCCCATGAGGCCATGAGCCCATAACCCAACGGCCAACACGAATTCAAGATGGCAGTGAGGGCAATCAAAAAAAAAAGATGGCAGTGAGGAGCATGGAGAGAGAGTGCTGCAGTTTGAGACTGACTCTGCCGGACATGGGATCAGTGGTCGTAAATCGCAGCCCTTCAACATCGCTGGCCACTTTGCGAGTATTGATGGATTAGATGTGCCTCCATTTCCTGTGTGCCGGGTCCGAGACTCACCGAACGGAACCTGTCAACCAGTCAAACATACAGGAACACTGGAACAGGATGGCAGAGCTGCAGGACAAAATCCGTTCCATTCCCACCGGCTGCACCGCCAAGAAGCGCCAGATCTGCCTGTCAGTCAACCCGTGGCGGATCACACTTCACACTAGCCGGTGGGTGAAGTGCGTAGGCCAAAAGCCACGGCACCAGCCGCCCGGTGCACCCAAAAATTCGGCAGTTCGGACGATGATGAAGCGTCCGATCACTCCAGCCACCAATCCACCGGAGTCCAGACCACCAGGCAAACTAGCTGCATGATTCGCTTCTAGGGCCTGTTTGGTTGGAGGACTTGTCTGGTAAAAAGTGTTACTCGAAAAATTGATGATTTTTGCCTGGCCAGGCAAGTCTGAAGAAGGTCTGTTTGGCTGGAGACCTATGCCTGAGAATGCTAATAGAGATGTGCATAAAATTAAAATGTTTTTAATATCTATTATGTAAGATTACATATATCTTTATAGTTTGGAAGCCCGTGCCTGGATAGACTAATAAAGATATAATACCATCTTTAAAACATACGTTAATGTTATAATGTATAAACAATAAATGAATAAATAAATAAAAATGATCCACATATTTTCTCAATTAATAATATGTTTCAAATTATAAATAAATTTAATAGATTTGCTAGCTATTTAAAAAACATCACAAGAAAAAACGCATGAGAAAGGAAGATAATTGACACTGCTCACACTGCTAATTTAGCGTGAACGTGATAAACGAAAGGGAGAAAGAATATAGAAAATATAAAATATACAAAACAAAAACTACACGGTGATATGATATGATTCTCTTTTACCTTGATCACTGTTTTCATGTCAGGCAACCGCGTCAGTATCCAGGCAGTCGAATTCGGTCGCCTGGCTCACGTTGCCCTTGCCTGGTCCAGTCATCATTTGAGGGCTCCAACCAAACACCTCATAGACAGACTCCAGGCAGCTGCAAATCCAGACAAAAGTAGTCCAGGGTCTGATCAAACACGCCCCTAGTTTCCCCGGGCTAACAAACCGAGGGCACCCTGGCGGATCGCATGTTTTCCCTGTACCCATGGGCGCTGAGGTGGAGCAGCGGCAACAGCAGTAATTGGCAGTCACGGTCCGGTGACCGGTGGTCTCGGTGGGTGGTTCGCTGCCCCGGGCCGCGCGCACGGCGCATCATGACGAGATGGGTTTGTTGCGGCGTGCGGCAGGGGCGCGGGGGTCTGGTGGTCAGGCGTGAGACCGGGCCGCGCGCACGTACGTGGACGCCGAGGAGAACAGCTTGATTGGTTGGACACAAAGTTTGAAAGGAATTAAGGCGAAACTTAAACTAAATTCTATCTTAATTTTTCCAGTCCCTCTATAACATAATCCACGTAGTTTGAAAGGAATTGCTCCCAAAGGTGAAACATGGTTTCTTTAGTCGCATTGGGTAAACTAATTTCTTCGTGAGGAAAACATTTCTATGATTTTTTTTCTTCATTAATTACGTTGGTGGATTGAGGTCATTTAACGATGATAGAAACAATCGTCAATACACCGTTGAAACTGTCCTTAGTGTGGATTTACGTGTAGCCAAATAAAGCAGAAGCCGGCGCGGTGGCTGGTGTCGGCGGCCCGCGAGTACGCGGGTGGCGCGGTCGCGCGGTGGTCCGTGTCTGTCTCCGTGACTCCGTGGTCCCGTGACTCCGTGGTCCATGAACCATGGTGCTGACTGCTTCGGCTGGGCACACGTTGCTTTGTTGGGACTCCGCCTTGGGAGCGTTGTGTTGTGCACTGATACGTATACAGGACCAGTGGAGGCTTCTCAAACTTGTGGCGCGGTGTACCTTGGTTGCTCCTTTGTGTTGTACTGTTACTCTATTAGCGCATGTTTGGTTTGGGCGAAATAGCCATGTTCGTCCTTGAACTTTCAACCAAAGCTGAAATTAGTCCCTCAACTATCAAAACGGCCACATTAATCCTCAAACTTGCAATTTTGGCTCAATCCCATCCTCCATCCTACGTGGCTTGCCACGATAACTTGCCCCAGTCAGAACACTTCTTGTTTGAGAAGGAAAGACTCCTCAAAACCAGTGATTTTAGAATAGGATGGTTCATACTACATGTTTGATTGGATGGTTGAGACATTAGAATAGATGGGACGAGAATAGTTGATTAATAATTGCATCTTTCATTTAGAAATAATAATAACTAATTATACACCAGTAGATATCCATTAACAATATTTTTGTATGATAATTACTGATTAAAAATAAAATATGTTAATTAGAACTACTACTCTATCGGTACACAAATCATGCACTGGTCAATATCTTAGCACTTATCAAAACTAATATTGTTATCATAATTACTAAGTTTACCATACTAATAATTCTTAGTTTATTTACTAATGACAAAGATCCGAAAAAATGGATGAGCTTATCTGGTAGATTTTTAGGGGCATGCTCATCCAACAAATTCATGGAATATTCCTTTTTTGTTGGTTGCACTGAAGTTACCACGAATAACAACACTATTCATCCATTGATCGTCATCTTTCATTCAGAGATATCCAAACACTGAAACACACTCGTATAATGGTGTGGAATACTGATAGCATTACACAGTACTTTGCTTATTCGACACCGTGCACGTGGTTGACCGTGTATCATGTTAAATATGTCTCATCCATTACTTCATTGTTTAGGGCTGATGATGAGTTATACAGCCGCATATCTAGCCCATACTCTTTTTCTGCGGGTATCTAGCCTATATATACTCTCTCTATCCCCTTTTATTTGTTGCTGTAGGAAACATGTTGGTCAAAATAAAATTTGACTAGGTTTGAAAAAATATTAATAACATTTGTATCTCCAAATAAGTTTATTATGAAAATAGATTCAACGATCTATCTAATCTAATGATACTAAATATGTACTATAAATATTAATATTTTCTTGTATATATTTGGTCATAGTTGAGTATATTTGATTTCTCGGGAAGTGAGAATGATAGATAAAAAGGACGGAGGAAGTACTCAATGAGTTGAGTATATTGCATCTCCAAATATTTGGTTGTATCTCCATCATTTACGGCTAGGCTTGAAATATGCTCAGGTCTAAAGTATAATTTAGGTGCAATATTATTTACTTGCCACGTCTATTGTCTTTGAGGGTAGTAGCAAAGCACCTAAACCCGCAAGTTCAACATCGATTTCTTTGAACGTGACAATTGAACAAATATGCCAAGACTTATAATGGCATAGCTAAAATCTATACTGCACATCACAGCACAAGTCTCTGCGATGATGCCTGCGAATTGGCCTGAGCTCTCTACTTTCCTCATTATTTTATTCCCTTTTCCATCAGATAAAACGTGCCAAAGCCACTAATTCCATAATTCGTTCCAATGCACGCCCAATTGACATCTCTAACCTTTTCTTAGTTGAAGCACACACTTATAGCCTCAACAAGTCTCTCACATGCTGCAAGTCCATGACCATCGATGGGTGGCCATGGTGTTGGGAGTTCTTTGAGCTGACCTCAGTAGTACGAGATCAAGACATAAGTGTGATACTGTGATCTAAAAGATAGTGTGTATAATTTTTCTCAACAAGGATTGCCTGTGCCATTCCAAAAATTCGAAACAGACATATCAGTCTGTTCGCTTGTTGGTTTCAGTTAGGGCTTATCAGCCAGACAACAGTGTTTTCCTCTCACAGCAAACCAGCACCAGCCGAGCTTATCAGCCCAAAAACTAACCAGCGAACAGGCCTAGTCTCTCAGCATGTTCGCTTGTTGGTTTCAACCGACCAAATTTAAACCAACCAACAATGATGTTTTCCTCTCACAAAAACCAAAGACCACCAAATTCAAACCAAACCAAAGACCAAAGACCAACCAAATGAACAAGCCCAGAATCTAAACATATATAGACAAATGACAACATGAGTAACATCGAAAGGAAAAAAAAGATGGTGGTGAGGCGACAAGGAAAACCACCTCTTGGCGTGATTGTAAAGACGTAAGCTTAGGACTCCGTTTGTACTAAAACAGTCAACTTTTCATAGGTTCACTTACATGCCTAGTAACTCACTGCCTAGGCCTACATACGTACTCAATCCATCCTAAATTGTAAGACGTTTGACTTTTTTGAAACCAAGTTTGACCACTCGTCTTTATTCAAAAATTTGTGTAAAATATCACTTCTTTCGTCGTGGTTTGGTTTATTAATAAAAATTCTTCAAGAATAACTTAAATTTGACTATATTTGCACAAATTTTTTGAATAAGGCGAGTGGTTAAACTTGAGGCAAAAAAAATCAAACGTCTTACAATTTAGGATGAAGGGAGTACAACACAAGGGACAAACAGCTTCAAGAGGAGGACGAGCACGTCGCGATAGTCATCTCCGAACGTACTGGAGCAGCACATGTCGCTGTATACTCTTGTTGAAGTAAAACCGGGACACCTTCGCTGGCAGGTGGCACCGGTAGCGTGATAGGCTGCAAATCGCAGGAGCCCTAATCGTTCAAGTGTGCCGCGTCACCTCTAGCGCTGCTGGGAACGCCAGCCACACAGCGCCGTGGTCCGCGCCAGCCTTCTTCCCAACTCCCACAGTCCCACTCCCACACCGCTCTCGGCCGAGCCTGAAGCCTCGCCTGGTAGAAACAGAGAAGCGTGAAGAAAAAACCGCAGGACGCAGACGAAAACCTCGTCCCTTTCCGTCGTCTTCCTCCTCCTCGCCTCGGTACTTCCGCTACCCCGCCCCCCACCACACACCCACCCACCCACGCGCCGCTCTCCTATTTAACCCCGCCCCCGCTCTCCGCTCCGCCACTCGCGCACCCATCATCCATCACGCCCCAAACCACTCCCTCCCTCGGTCCCTCCGGAGCCCCTCACCGCCACTAGCTACCACAGCAGCCGCAGCGGCTGTACTACTGCTACCTGTACCGTCCCTCGGCTTGCACCACACGTCCGCGCGCGCGCTCGCTCCGCCGGTGTTGGTAGGCAGGCAGGCGCGGCGGCCATCCATGGCGCTGGCGGGGACGGGGATGTTCGCGGAGATCCTGGACGGCGAGGTGTACAGGTACTACGCCGACGGCGAGTGGCGCAGCTCCGCCTCCGGCAAGTCCGTCACCATCGTCAACCCCACCACCCGCAAGACCCAGTACAGGGTGCAAGGTGCGGGCTCTCTCGCCTCTGCTCCCTGTTTTTACCGGGCTCCAAAAACCTCGGGGAGCTAGCGCTAGTGTTGTCCCCTTCTTTTGGGGAAAGACGGTTGATAGGGACGTACACACCCGTGCTACCGTCGAATTCTGTCGATGATCACGAAGTTAAAACTTGGACGAGAAGCGCCAGCCATTAATGGCTGGCTACCTGCGCTATCACTTTCCGTAATTCTGCTGGCCATCCCTGATAGTGCCTCTTACTTAACTACTGCCCCAACCAAATAGTCTCACTTTTGATGCTTAATTTCGTTGTCCCCCAATTGAACCACTTGGCAGTCTATTCCAAGAATCTTTCTCCAATTAACCATTTCTCGAATTGATCAGAGTCCATAGGCTTTTGCTAGTGCTGATAGGTTCAATGGTTGTATGTGAACTGCAAAAGGGAATGTCTTTCATTTCTGATGATCCGGATCCCCTGTGTGTCCAGCATGCACCCAGGAGGAGGTGAACAAGGTGATGGACGCGGCCAAGGTCGCGCAGAAGGCATGGGCCCGGACACCGCTGTGGAAGCGCGCGGAGCTCCTCCACAAGGCGGCCGCGATCCTGAAGGAGCACAAGGCACCCATCGCCGAGTGCCTTGTCAAGGAGATAGCCAAGCCGGCCAAGGATGCTGTTTCTGAGGTCACTAGCAGATGAAGAAATTCCTGTTAGTGTTTTGCTTTGATTCTTCAATTGGGCTTAACGGATAACATGTCTTGTTGTGTTTTCATAGGTTGTGCGGTCTGGGGATTTGGTGTCGTACACAGCTGAGGAGGGTGTGCGGATACTGGGGGAGGGCAAGCTGCTCGTTTCTGATAGCTTCCCTGGTAATGAGCGGAACAAGTACTGTCTGAGCTCCAAGGTATAGCTACATTGCAGTACTCTTGTTTGCTGTATATGCTCCACTGATTTCACTACGACATTGTTTGTGTATCTTAACTTATTCAGAAATGTTGATAGAAATAAGCTAGTTGAACGTTTACGAAATTAATTGATGGAGCAGTTCATCCTGAGTGATGGAGAATGGAATGATAAAAGTTGGGGGGTGGGCAATTAAGTTGAAATTCATCTCTAAAGGATAGGCCATAAAATAGGCACCTTGCTTCTCTGTTACAGCTTATTGACATGCAGAGGAGCATGGAATATTCCATGTATGCTGTTGGCATGTCTTGCTGATTCCTTTTGCTTTGTTTTGCCTTTTCTTCGCTGATGTCATTGCCATGCTGCGACTGCTCAGGTTGTGTACTTTCTATGATTCTATCCAGTGTAAACTATTGCTCCGTTTGTCCATCCTATTTTTCCTGTGTAAATGATATTGTGTCTCGGCCAAACTCAACAAGGTCATGGATCTGCCTGACTCGACTGTTTCTATGCCAAATTGGCTGGAATTGTCCAGGTGCAACCATAACTCAAAGAAAACATAGCATCAAACGAGCGAGGATTAGTGTTGTGCCTCGAGCTAGGATTCTACCATTATGGTTTTTGCTAGCCTTAATTCGCTGGTACAGTAGTACTAATACAGTCACTTCACTGTTATTCATTCAAGCCAAGTAGTTGAGCTGGTTTTCCCCCTCAGTGTACTATCACAATCATTGAGGTTGTTTCTTTATAAATGAATCTTTTCACCTTTACTTTCTAAACCAACTTTGCTGATCCTTGTACCACTTTACGTCTTATAGGTGTTTTGAAATTAGGTTCATCCTATTGAGCAGTGCTACTTGCAGATGGCAGGGAAACATTCCGTTATGTTTGTTAGAATGAAACTCCAAACACCATACATTCAGTTATGAACTCAGAGACCAAACAGTCAGTTATGGACTCAGAAACCATGCAATGTTTGTTGCTGCCAAACATAGGTTCGATGATGTTAAGTTGTTTACCAACCAATATTCATGCATGCTGTAGCCTGTAGAAATTTGTATTTCAGACAGTTTTTATGGTGCTAAGTTGCTATTGATGCTCCCCTGAGCACTGTTGGGTTCCCCAAAATTATTGATCCATTAATATTGTTTCCTTGCATATCTAATGTATCATCCTGTTAATGCAGATACCCCTTGGAGTAGTTTTGGCAATCCCTCCATTCAACTATCCTGTCAACTTAGCGGTTTCTAAGATTGGCCCAGCACTAATTGCGGGCAATGCTCTTGTGCTCAAGCCTCCAACTCAGGTATATGAGTTTTTTGGGTTAACCTAACTCCCTTCCTGAGTGTGAATTTAATGCCTTTCAAAGTCAAAATGCTTATGGGAAGTATTATTGTTTAAACAGGGTGCTGTGGCTGCACTTCATATGGTACACTGCTTCCACCTGGCTGGTTTCCCGAAAGGTTTGATCAGTTGTGTGACTGGGAAGGGTTCTGAAATAGGAGATTTTCTTACAATGCATCCTGGAGTCAACTGCATAAGGTAAGCATCAACAGCACTTGCCGACAATTGAATTCTTCAGTTTTAGTGAGACAGAACCTTATTTGTTCCTTTGCTGCTTAGTTTTACTGGTGGCGATACTGGTATAGCCATTTCAAAGAAGGCCGGAATGGTCCCTCTTCAGATGGAGCTTGGGGGCAAAGATGCTTGCATTGTGCTAGAGGATGCAGATCTAGACTTGGTTGCAGGAAATATAGTAAAGGGTGGTTTCTCTTACAGGTGCAGTACTTAATAATGCTATTTAATTTTATATCGCACTTGGATTTATTGAAAACTTCAAAAAGTGAAAGCAAAAATTGGAATCAACAAAAACTTTTAGCTAACAGAACATGACATGTGGTATCCAAGTTGGTGTCATTTACACAAGAGTGTTGTCACATGCTTATCCTTGGATTTGGCTTCCATGCTTCCATCTTAAGTTGTGACTTATTATGAGTAAAAGTGCACTACTGTTTTTTTTTCAAGAACAGTATTACTATTTTGAATAAGGTACTATCCCATCTCTAATACTTCTTGGGCTTGTACTCAAATGTGTTGTGATCAATGCAGTGGCCAGAGGTGTACTGCTGTCAAAGTAGTACTGATCATGGAATCAATCGCTGATGCCGTGGTACAGAAGGTTAACGCCAAGTTGGCGAAACTGAAAGTTGGCCCACCTGAGGACGACTCTGATATCACCCCGGTTGTAACAGAATCCTCAGCCAACTTCATCGAGGGTCTAGTGATGGATGCAAAAGAGAAAGGAGCAACCTTCTGCCAGGAGTACAGGAGAGAAGACAACCTTATCTGGCCGTTGCTGCTGGATCATGTCCGCCCTGACATGAGGATCGCATGGGAGGAGCCTTTTGGGCCCGTCTTGCCTGTGATCAGGATTAACTCAGTTGAGGAGGGCATCCACCATTGCAACGCCAGTAATTTCGGCCTACAGGTTTTCCCTCTCCCTCCCTGCCAGTTAACAGCAACGGGTGCCATTATACCCAGCTTCTTCAACTCACTGTTTGTGCAACACCCATTTCAGGGATGCATTTTCACAAGAGACATCAACAAGGCAATCCTGATCAGTGATGCAATGGAGACTGGAACTGTGCAGATCAACTCTGCACCGGCTCGTGGGCCTGACCATTTTCCCTTTCAGGTAATTGTTATTGTAAATCATGTCAGCAATTTTCTGTGGTCAACTGACTATCAAATCGCTCTGAGAATTTTATTTCATTGAGGTGTTTCTAATCCTTCGGGGTTTTTTTTTTTTGGATTTTATAGGGACTGAAAGACAGTGGCATTGGATCCCAGGGGATAACAAACAGCATTAACATGATGACCAAGGTGAAGAGCACTGTCATAAACCTGCCGTCACCATCCTACACCATGGGCTGAGATGTTCATGTAGCGGATGTTTTATAGCCCCATGAGCAATGTAGAGAATTAAAATGTTTCATAGCCACGTGAGATTTGTATGCTATTTACACCTGAGTTCTGCCTGTACCAGATCTTTTGCAGTATATAAAGAATAAAGTGCGTTGAAAGTATTGAGTCGATGCTTTTACTCAGTTCTTCCCTACGCGCGCTGGTTGGGTACCAGCCATTTACATACTGGTCTTAGAAGGAAAAAAAAAAGGGTTGGGTAGCCGCTTACATACTGGTTTTAGTGGAAAAAAATAGTACCTCGACATGTCAAGGAGAAGCCTGTTCGCTTGTTTCGCTTGTTGGTTTCAGCCAGCCCAAATCAGTCAGCTAACAATATTTTTCTCTCAAAAAAACCTAGCACCAGCCAGCCCGACACCGACCAGCGAACAGGCCCATAAATCCTCTACTTTGCCTTTTCCTCGTAAAAAAACATTCAGGAAAGTTTCGTGAAAAGTCAGGACCAAAACCTGCTTTATGAGTAGGCATTCCAATTCTATAGAGCACTGCAGCTACACACCAGGTGTCCATGACAAATACTTGAACCGTTCGAGACAAAAGCATGAATACCATCACATCGGAGCTTATGAAATTGATGGGTAGCATAAGCTCTTCCTAGGTCCCTATATTTAAACTTGATAAGTTGGAGCTGACAGTCAGCTTCCGGTCCACAGTCTGCATTTCTGCTCACTTCCACAATGAGCTATCAGCAAACACCAAGAGATCACAAGCATAGGTTTTTTGAAAATGCATCCCATGCAGAAACAACCATAAATAAAATAATACTACCTCCGTCCCCAAAAGAATGCAATTCTAGTATAGTGTCACGTGTTAGTACCTCAAGTTTGACCAATTATAGATAAAAAAATACATCCATGTTTATGATACCAAATAAATACCATCAGATTAAATACGAAATGTATTTTCATAATAAATTAATTTAAAGACACAATTGTGAGTATTATTCAATAAAAACTTGGTCAAACGTGAACCATCTTTTGTGGCACGCAACCCATAGTTGCATTCTTTCCAAGGCGGAGGTAGTAAATAGGAACCACAACCAATAGGCAGAATAGTACAATAACAGAATGCATGCTCATTAAATCTGTACTTAGATGATAGAGGACAGGATAAATATTACCAAAGGCACTGTATGCCTAATCTCTCACCTAGAAAGAGTTTTGCTTGGATATACTACAAAATCAGGTCAGAACGATCTTGCCTAAAACAAAATCAGCAGGACAATCTTTGGTTGCTTCATTCAATAGATCAAGGCAACTAAGAGAGGTTCAGACTGCTGAGAGGTTCAACCAAAACATCAGTTTCAGAACATGCATGAAAATCAAGAAATAAGATATGGAAGGTGATAGAGCTGTAGTTAAGAAGCCACCAATTAAAATTTACACTTGAGAAAGCATCATGTGAGTATGCAAGACCCTCAAGCCTAATTGGGAAGACATCACAAGACTCAACAATGCTATGAATCTTGGTACTGCTGACAACATAGTTGGCAATGATTTATCAGACAATTCAACCACACACAAGCCTTAAGAATGGAAATAGATGCCTTCAAATTGGGCAGGAAAACCAAGCTTCTAGGTGATGCAAGCATATTACAAACAGCAAAACAATTTAGATATCCCTCAGCACTTCAGCAGAGCCAGGGATTAAGCATATTTACATGAAGGAATGACAGACAGCTCTTTTTACAACTTTCGAGATAACATATTTACATGAAGAGAAAATACCTTCCTAGCTGTAAGTTGAAATAGTTGTTCACTTTTTCGCTCGAGTACAGACCTAGATTGCACATTTCATCATGCCCATATATTCAACATTGAATTATAAGAGAAACTAATATGTTAGATCAACTGTTGTGATATCCTAACCACATGTATTGTAGAATACCTAAAGACTCCTTTGCCGATAGCATAGAGTTTGATTCCAAGACGTATTAAAACAGATGATGGTCGTTAATAAATCTCCGAGCCGCAAATCATCCAGGTCAAGTTGTATGTTCTGTTGTAATACAAAAAATCACTTCTAACCCTCTAATTTTTGTTCTTCCTCCCTCTTGAGGGTGTGTGAAGATGTCCTAACTGGCCTGCCGACCTTAGAACACAGCAAAATGCACTTTGTCTCCCTTCCAGGTGAGCTCAGGATGGCATACAGTCTAGTCAGTTAAGACAGTCTAAGCCAGGTTAAAACAGGACAATGTTTTTTTTAACGCAAAAAACAGGACAAAATTGGAACAGGATGAACTGTGTTAAATCCACCTGGGAACTTTCAGCTGCTATGCAACTATCATTCCAGGTTTCTGGCTACTATGCAGCCACAACCAAGCAACAGTGCTAGTATAAAACAAAAGAAAAGGAAAGAAAAGGTTCACACCTCCAACAGAAAACTTAGTAAACTACAATATCGAAAAGGAGACAGGCAAGAATAAACTAACAGGCCGACAACATAAGATCAGACAACAATGTTTCACATACCCATGACAAGCATGATTATCCAAGCATTCGCATGAATGCAATAACGAGAAGTAAATCAACTCAAACCCAACACCAAAATGCGTCTAGTCAACATAAATCCTACAAAAATAAATGTCTCTGATCAACACCAATATAATAAGCTAATAGCAGAAGTGCAGTACGGTACAAAGTAGGAAATTAACTAGCCTAGTTAACACATGGGCAAACTGATATTATAAGGCAACATATTGCACGAACTCATGTTAATAAATGACTCCAACCCAGATTCAGGGCAGACCAGGCATATATATTGCACATAGAACAGGAGCAGCACAGATTTGAGTCCACCCACAAAGATACGAAGTCACGTCGGCATACAGAGTGCATTATAATGACCACAAACAGCAGATGGATACGTGGCCTACTTAGCTGCTGACATATGTTAGCATACCGATGGACTGATAACACTAGTCAAAACACTATTATACTAACTAGATTAACGGCACAGACGACACAGATTGATAAATTCTCCTAGATAGAATAGCATGGATGCAGACAATGTAAGATCGCCATCGTCTCAGTTTGTGTTGAGCTCCCGAACAACCTCCTCCCCCTCTTCCTCCTCGTCACTGCTCTCGTTGTAGAAATCGGACCGACGGTTGCTGAACACCAAACCAGGGATAAGGTTTTCAAGGGGAGGGAGGTTAAGGCTCTTTACCCACTCCAGGTGCTCGAGCAGCTCGTCGTCCACCACCAAGCCGGCTCTCAGATTCATCCCCGCGGCCGTCGGCGCCTTACCCGCGGCCGTCTTAACCGCTTCGTCCTCGCCACCGGCGGCGGCGGCGGCCACCACATCATCAGCAGGCTTCTCGCCCTTTAAGCAGCCGGCCGCGGGTTCTTCAACCTTCCTTTTGGTGAGCAACCCCTCGTACGGTTGATCCTCGGTGGGCAACGCCGCAACTTCAGCCTTCCTCTTCATCACCGGCCCCTCCACACCGAGCGTCATCACCGGCCCCCGCTCCAGGACGAGCGCGCCCGACTTCCACGAGCATTGATCGAGGGGACCAAACTGGGCCGCACCCTCACCGGCCATGACGAATGTCGAGATCGTTCACCCCCTCGCCTCGACGAAAGATTTCCTCGAGAAAATCGTGGATCTTTTTTTTTATGAGGGATAATAGGAAATCGTGGAATTGGGACATCTAATTATTTGTCACTCTTACGGAGGCCGCCTCTCTGATTGTCAACTTTGTGGTGGCAACTACAAAAATGTCTCAGAAAATAGTAACTCGCCTAATTTTTTGCCATTTTTGCTGACGTGGCATGCCAGATCACCACCGACTTAGGAAGCAGGTCGTTGACGTCAAGACCGAAGGCAAAAGACCATTCTCGCTTCGCCAGATATTGCTTAACGAAAGTGCCATCTCTCCCGTCTGCTTTCGATCATGGCCGCTGTTTTCGAAGGATCTCGGGGCTAGGCGCAAATATAGTTTTTGGACCGGTTAAATAGCCAACAAAGATAGCGTGGGTCTGCCGACCGAGCACGTGGCGCATCTTGATTGGAAGATAAAAGATGATGTGGCCTCAACATGACTTTGGTTGACCAACGGTCAAGATGAAATTGTGGCCGTCGATCCGAAACGGATGGCCAAGAGGAGCCTCTGCTCTGGTTGTCTTCACGCAGCGGCGGGGACGTCGGCGTGGTGGTGGTGCTCCCGTCGGCGGCGGGGCTCGACGACGTCGGCCGGGTTGCGGCTCCGGTGGCCGGGGACGCGCGGCGACCGGCGGAAAAGGAAGAGGCGACCATGGCGTGTATGTTGGTGGTCCTCTTTGTCGCCAGAATGGCTCGGGGTGGTCTGGAGACGATTTAACGACGAAGAGTGTGGGGCGGACGGTGGTGGGCGAGCTTCGGTGGAGTTCGACGATGCGCCCACGGATCGACGATGAGGAGTAGCGGGGTGAGCTCGTGGCGACCCTGCGGTGCCGGCGAAGAACCGATCGAGTCCAGAGGTGGTGGGAGGTGGGAGATCACGAGCTCGAGCCGACCCGGCAATGGCGGCGACGGCGAAAGTTGGGGGTGGTGGCGCGGGAAAGAAGTTGCGGTGAGGCGCGAGGAGCAAAGGCGTGCACTTGCGACCTCGTTCCGCTTTTTATAGGGAGATGAACGATGAACGTGGGACGGGAATGGAGCTCGGTTCATTGCCATCAATGGCGGCCGAGTAATGTAGGCAGAGGAAATGGAGGAACGTCCATTTGATGTAGGGATATTGAAGAGCAACGTTATAGCAGCACTATTATGGAATTTAATTGCCGCAGGAGTAAAGGAGGTGGGCTCTTTGGAGCTCGGATTCTCCGTTAATGGAGAAGAGAGAGGAGGAATTTCGACGGAGGTTGAAGACAACATGATGGGGGTGGGCCCGGCCGGCAAAGTGAGCGAGCGAGAGAGAACCGTTGGGGACTGAGCACATGGGAGGAGAGGCAGGCTTCGTTAAGCAATACACGCATGGGGCGAGAATGGTCTTTTGCCTTCGGTCTTCAAGCGTCAACGGCCCGTTCCCAAGCTGGCTGGCTGATCTGGCATGCCACGTCAGCAAAAATGGCAAAAAATTAGGTGAGTTACTATTTTCTGGGATATTTTTGTAGTTGCCACCATAAAGTTGGCAATCAGAGAGGCGGCCTCCGTAAGAGTGGCAAATAATTAGATGTCCCCGTGGAATTTTATGTACGGGACGAGGGGGCGGTAGCTCTTCTCCGCGGCGTGCCGGTGTCAGGAACTCATCAGGAAGTCAAGGGGATTCGAGTCGGAACGGGTGATTCGGCCCAGTACGTTCATCTCGTTGGAGCGGGGCGAGAGTACGGCCCAATGGGGGTCCGCGCGAAGGAATTGACCAGAGTTCGAACCGGGGGTCCCTTTGCCTTCTCTTCTCTATCTTGCTCGAGTTCCATTTTCTTCTTCCTCGGAAAAAGTCTCTTTTACCCATTCAACTATACGACGCTATCTACAAGCGTATCAAGTCTTTGTGTATTTCCTGAAGGAAAAAGTTTACTTGACCCCCTCAACTATTGGTTGTTGTCTACTTTACTCCCTCACCTATAAAACTAGGTATTTTATCTCTCAAACTATTGAAAACCATCTAAATTAAAGGTGGTTTTACTAACATAGCATATTAAAAAGTCTGTATAACCTCCTAACGTATTGAGGGTTGACTACATGAACTCCTTTACTATAAAACATGATATTATAGCCCGTAAAGCATCAAATAATGTTCAAATGACTCATCGAAGGTCTTTAAGGGCATTTGAACGTTGTATCCTACCACGCTGGCCTAAACAACATGCTTGCACGTAGCCCATTTGTTGCCCCACCTCCCCACTCTTTCTAGGCTGACCCACCGTCCAACAAGCAGCATGTGACATCTTGTCTCCTGCTTTATACCTCCCATCACTCGTCGATGCCATTGAGCTCAAGAACGCCACACCTACATCTTCGTCGTTCAACCCTTCCTACATCCTACATCCGGCCGTCCTTCAGTTTTTTAGGTAGCCATTGGAGGAGAAAGCAATAGTATGCAAGGATGTGGGAGGAGCCGGATCACAAGGGTCTAACCGTAGTGTATGTGCTCAATGTCTTGCCGAGGAGTGCACGAGGTGGAGGAGGAAAAAGGTGGTGCTCATCGAGCGATAGCACAAGCTTAGAAAGAGTTCAGAGAGGGAGGCAGCCGATGGGTCTATGTGCATGCATGTGTGCTTAAGCTAGTATGGTGGGATACAATTGCCAAATGACCCTACACGACCATCATTTTATTAGATATTTAAGATCTACAATATCATATTTTATAGTTGAGGAGATCATGCAGTCAACTCTTGATATGTTAGAGGGGTTATATAAACTTTTTAATATACCACGTCAGCAAAATCACTTTTAAAACCGCCTCAGGGGGTTATTTAAATGGTTTTTAATAGTTTGAGAGGTAGAATATCTGGTTTTATAGGTGAGGAATGAAGTAGCCAAGGGGTTAAGTAGACTTTTTTCATTTCCCTGAAATACAAATATTTTGGTACAAATACTTGCTTTCCTATTGCATAAATACTAGAGTAACATGGAGTATTTCCGTCAAAATTTTGAGGATATGCATAATTGCTGTTAGGAAGTGTCCTCTCTCTAAGCCACTGAAACTGCGACTGCCCGCTTGTGCCGACAGTACTCTCGACTAATCAACAGTTGCGATGATGGCATCATGCGTAATCTGGCATGAACTTCCTAAGGAATTTGATTGGTTGGGATTCCTCCGGCACGAGCTCATCGAACGGAACGTAGTATCTCTCCTTGTCGTACACATGGCATCTAGTCAGTATCGTCTTCATCAATCGCCAACTCCAGTTGGCTTCATTGACATACTGCAACATGAGAAAAGAAGTTACTTAGTATGTAAAGAACCAGAGAGATGCACCAAAGTAGGAGGATTTCAAATCACCTTGCCCCAGTTCTGTTTGATGGAGTCATAAGCAGCACGAAGGTTATAACTTGGGATTCTTGGAGAAATATGGTGTGGGACATGCACATTAATATCATGGCAAAGGATCTCTATCCTGTAACAGTCAATTACTCATATGAAATTCAGCTGAAGAGGCAACATGTTCCCATGATACTTTCACTAGAGATTGATTTGCTAGTACAGCCAACATGAATCCTTTATCCCAAAATATCCAAACAGCATTCCATAGTTTTGCTGAAACTTCAATGAAATATTGTCCTCTGACTAATTCTTAACTAGGACAAAACACAATTCTACAATTGAATGATTCTGTTAAACAAAATAGAGTTGATGGTCTACATGTTTTTTAAGCACATCCTACCAAATATGATCTTAATTTTTGGTGAAGTATCTTAAATTTTGAAGGTGAGATGAAACAGTAAATTATGATCAGTGCCATTTTTGTTGGCAACAGTTTCGAACTTCAGTGACTTCCTGTGCAACAAGAATCATAATGGAAACATGTTGCCTCTTCAATAAGAGTCACATGTGTCCAGCAGATAAACTTTGTTCTTAGTGTGAGTGCAATGTAATATAAAAACATACCATTGAGGATAGTTACAATGAACTGTGCCATTTAATTGAGCTTGTGCAGCATTCCATTCTTCAGATGACTTGAATGGTATATGAGGAGCTGTATGATGTACCATTGTAAAAGTGCTCATCTGAAGAGGATAATTTTAAAAAATAAGTAGAATACACTTCAGTATACAAAGCATTAGATAATGAAGATATTTTACAGTTTTGAACACAGATTATCATCCTTTTAGCTATGCATATTTTTCTCTGTCAAACCAGCTAAATGCACGATATCATACTAAGTTTTAGTTTACCGCTGGGATTTAATGAATCCAACCTATGTTCTGAAAACTTTTCAATAAGGGGTTTCCAAAATGTCATGAAATGAGCTGCTGGCAAATTCATGTGGCAGGAACCAGTCTGTTGCTAGTTTCTGAATACAGTAAAGAGGTTCTAATAATAATATAAAACAAAGTACATATTAGATAATGGCATTTCAACCTGAACGCAAGGAAATGCAATGGCTGCTAGAGTATACCCATTTGCCTTTAAACCTTCACAGAATCTTTGATGAAAGGATGTGCAAATGGGCAACTCTTTCTGGAGCATCTGATCGACTCCATGGGTCAGTAATTTACAGCAGTTAAGCATGAATTATTGAATTAACATGATGTATCTACTTAACTTTTATAAAAAAGTATAACAGTCCAAAGAACATGACAAAAAATTACCATGGACTTGGACGCCATCTAGATTTCAATAAATGAATGTGACAGGAAATAAGAAATGTTAAATATTATAAACACTTAAATAGAGTAAGAGCATGATAGTAATAATAATTATCATGGACTTGGACACTATGTGCATTTCAACAATGATGGTGGAAAATAAGAAATGTTACCCAAAAATGATAAACCATCCATGGCATGAACCAGAACTTAAACCATCCAGCTGGTCCTGATTTGAGAATGATCAAAGGCCATCCAATTGCCATGAATGCAAACACACATGCTAAGCTTATCTTAACCCTTGGAACTTC